GAACAGCCCCACTTTATAAACATTATGTCCTCTTCTGGAAGGCCAAACAAAGTAGTTTCGCTTTCACAACGAAACACAGCGTCACACACGGCGGCCTTGAGTGAGCGGAGGCCGGCGGCTTGAGTGAGCGGAGGGTTGCGGCAACCACATGTGACGACCCCGGCGCGAAGTTGATGTATTTCCGGCGCGAAGTTGATGTATTTCCTCAGCGATCAGCACGGATCAGCTCTAGGCATGACGAAGCGGATATTGTCCTCTTTTGGAAGACCAAACAAAGTAGTTTTGCTTTCACAACGAAACACACAGCGTCTCGACATGGCGGCATCAATACTACAGCGAGAATAAAAGTTATGCTTTCTTTCTTTGCGTGAACATTTGGGCTGTGTTATGCAAATCTTCCCACATCGTGACGTAGACATGTTAGAACGAGCCGTTTTAGGTAGGCGTGGTTGACTTAAGTTTTATAAAGAATATCTCTTTGGATTTGAGACTTTAGTCTTTGCAACTTTACAGATCTTCTTTATGCACCAAAAGCTTGTAACACTCCAAAGAGAAAGGAAAAATTGAAATCGCTTCATATGACCCCTTTAATAACGGTAACTGTCCCACCCGCTGAAAGCTGCGTGGAAAAAGCCAAAGTAACGGGCGAAATGTTTCATACTGGCTCTTGGCACAGGAGAACAACATCTTCTATAAAACAAAGTATATGTTTCAGTCCTTCAGTTCACTTTTTTACATACTTTTACACTTTTTCTGCTGTTCAAAAAATCTTTCTTTTCGCTATTACCACAAACAAGCTACGTAGCAACTTGAATCTGAGTTATTAGCTCTACGTTATCAGTTTGCTGTCGTGACTCTCGCGAACAGCACTGAACGCACACTTTTCGGTACAAATATTTTTTTATTATTTTAAACCTTTTTTTCAGCTTATGTAGTCTCTACAACCAATGAATTGCTGATCTCTAGTGATGTATAATTTTTGTAATAGATCATTTGTTGGTAAAGGGTGAGAGATCTGGCGAGCCACATGATTTTTGTCAAAGAGCCAGG